AATAAAGGTTCTTAAGGCAGATCTTCCTGGATTGAATTCATCTATTTGTTGATTCTACAAATATTAGTTGATATCTCTCTATATGGGAAGCACTCTTCTTGATACCAGGGCCACAGAAATGAAGAAAAATGGCAATATTCTCTGCCCATTTAAAGCTTGTGCTCTAACTGAGGAGGCTGACTATCACTGTGAAGATTAAATAGTGTGCCACATTGCTTGGTGAAAAGTGCTAAGGAAAAGTACAAAGCAGAGAGAAGGTAGGGAGTGGTGTGAAAGACAACTTAGCAGCAAGGCGACTGAACAAAGAGTTAAGGGAGGGGAGGAAAAAAGCCCATGACCCTTAGGACGGCATTCTGTGGCAGAAGGAACATGAAGCTTAAAGATCTGGAGGCAGAGAGGAGGTAGGAAGTGATGCGAAAGACTACTTAGTAGCAAGGTGATAAAACTAACAGCTGAGGGAGGAAAGGAAGAAAGCCCCATGACCCTTAGGGGGACATGTCTAGTGTTTGAGAGAAAAAAAAAAAAAAAAACAGGAGATGAGAGGTACTCAAGGGAGGAATGTGAGGGGGAGCTGTGAAGTTGGAATTCTAGTTCAGACTTTGGCAATGTTGACAGATTTATGTAAAGTCTCTAAACCTTCATCCTTACTTATTTTTTCTAGGGCTATGTGAGGTTGAAGCAAGATCATGTTTCTATAGAGTTTAGTGCAGTGCCTGGTTCATAGGAAATGCTTGAATATATTGGATATGATCATTATGGCTTAGAGGCTTAGAATACAAACACAGGAGCCGTGCCAGCAGGGTTTGAAGCTCAGCTCTACTGACTTACCACTTACTCGTTAGGTGACTTTGGGCAAGGTATTTAACTCTCTGTACCTCAGTTTGCTCATTCGTAAAATGGAAATAATAATATAGCCTTTCTCTTGGGATCAGTATAAGGATATATAGATAGGACTTAGAATAGCACGTGGCATGTTGTAAAGATTCTATAAAGTTAACAATTATTATTATATTTAATAACGAGTTTTTAATATGTGCCAGACCTTTCATGAAATAGACCAAAGACTTTCTGATGTGAGCTCTTTGAGGAAATGATTTGTGGCCACAGGCAGAGCAGAGGGTCTTGGAAAAGTCAGCTGGATTCTGCCCCACCCCCCTCATCTAGAAGAGATTAGTCAGGGCCAAAGAAGGAGGGCAAGGAAGAGGAGGAACAGGAAGAGGAGAAGAAGGAGAGAACTGTGAGTTATAATAAAGAGCCAGCAGGCTCAGTGGCTCAGGCTGTAATCTCAGCGCTTTGGGAGGTTGAGGTGAGTGAATTGCCTGAGCCCGCGGGTTTGAGATCCACCTGGGCAACTTTGGCGAAACTTCGTCTCTACAGCAAATCAAAAAATCAGCCGGGCGTGATAGCGCACGCCTGTAGTTCCAGCTACTTGAAAGGCTGAGGCGGAAGGATCGCCAGAGCTCAGCAGGTCGAGGCTGCGGTGGCCGGGAGCAGCCGCTGCACTCCAGTCTGGGCGACAGAGTGAGACTCCAACTCAAAAATAAATGAATAATTAAAATAAAATAAAATAAAAAATAAAAAAGCCTACCAGGCTCCCAGATCAGCTGTAGAGCAGAAGGGCTGTCAGATAAATCCAGGCAGGTATGACCAGAGGCAACCATGCATCAATGTGCCTGTATTTTGTGGGAGGAACTAAAGCAGCAGAGAGCCATGGACCAAGTGCTAGGGTCGCTCTGAGAGAAGCTGGTGCCCTTGATGTCGAGGCACACCTACTCCTGGACCAAGATTTGTGAAGTGGAAGGAAGTGATCCTCCTTGGGACTGGAACTTTGGGCAGGGTCCATACAATGAGCTCATGACGTATGGCTCAAAAGGTGACCTTTGTTAGTACTTTGTATTAGTTATCTACTGCTGTGTAACGAATAACCTCACAACTTAAAACACTATTTATTATCTCCCAGTTAATGTGGGCTGGGAATCTGGGTAGAGCTAACCTGAATTCTTTGGGTCTTTTATAAGCTGTTATCAGGTGTTGACTGGGGCTGGAGTCATTTCAAGGCTCAACCAGAGAAAAATCCATATCCGAGCTTGTGCCTGTGGTTCTTGGCTGAGTTCCTGGTTATCTCTGGGCATCAGTTCCTTACTAGCTTTTGAGACAACTCCTGGCTCCTTCCAAGTGGGCTTCTCCATCAGGACAGTTTGCTTCATCAAAGTGGGCAAGCCAAGAAGGTAATAGAGAGAACCCAGTGAGAGGCCTGATCATGGTAGCGGAAACCCAGAACCTTTGCTTTACTTTACTTATAAGGAGCAAGTTGTAAGCTTCAGCCTATACTCAAGGGGAGGGGATCAGACAAGGACATGACATTCCAGAGGCAAGAAATTTGGAAATTAGGCCCTCCTCCTGACAGCTCCTGCTGCCCAGAACGTGTTCTACAGAAGATCTGGCTATGTGGCATAATTTCAAGGGGAAAAAGATCCCCAAGAAAGAAAGAAAAAAACTTTTCTGCAAGTCTGACCAACTGGTGTCTCAGAAGAGAAATTGATTTGACAAAAACTAATAAGGAATACAGCTTGCATTTCTGTGCTGAGAATTCTTTCTTTCATTTCACATAATTCTCCAAGCCATCCTGTGAAATATATACTACATTTTAATTGAGAAAAATTGCAACTAAAAGAGGTTAAGTCATAAATCTGAAGTCACACAGCCAGCATGGTAGACAGTTTGATCTCAGTCTCTGTGTCTTCAAAACTCACTACCCAATGCTACCTCAATGCTGCTGAAATTTATGTTTCTTTTCTTACTTATCACAGCACAGATGTGTGGGGACTCATAAACAGCATCAAGTCTATGAGCTCTACTAAAATATAAATATAAAGTGTAAAATGTCACCCATAGTTTTTTTTGCAAAATATAATTGTTGGTGGATAAATATATTGCCACTACAGAAGTTTTCATAAGATCAAGCTCCTGCTATTAAAGAGTATTCTGAATTTAATAGCACGAGTGCATTATGCACAATAAATTTCAGTGATTTGGACAAAGAACCCTTCCATCCTGTACTTATGCGACCGGAAGATCATAAGAAAGAGGTATTACTTCGCTGAAAGTTTTTCTCATGTTCTTGCTGCTTGGGGTGACAAGTTAGCTCAGAAAATCATCACTCCAAGTGACCGTGGTGTAACCAACTGGCCTGACTCATGGACTGCACATTCCCTGCTGCTGGCCCAGAAGACATGTCTTAAATGTTCACCACCATGCTCAGCGTGAATGCCCCTGATGTGAGCCTAACAGGAAGTATGACTTCATTCTGCTTCTCTGCCTCTGGTTACGCAGGCTGTTTTTAAAAGAAAACAAGAGGGGTTGTAAGACTGACTTTCCCAAGAACTTTCCCAGGAACTACTCTCTCATCTGTACCAGGAAACAGCCAAAAGACAAGAGGCTGCAGAAGACAACACTTCGCTACAAACATCTGCGCATGGAATTGTGTGTAGGCATCTATTAGAGAAGAGAGGATGCAGTGTGTGTCCTTGATTGAGAGACTTCTGCACCTGTTGGCATTCTGACTTTTTTTTTTCCAGCTGAAGAACTGCTCAGGCCTAGAGTTCTTTGTTGTCAACCACAGAAGACTTCGTATTCCAGTAATTATTTTGTTGTTTATCAATTGGAAGAAGAGACTGGGAACTCCCTTTGGACGGAACATGTATGGGCAAAGTTATTTTTAAGAACAGATGTGTTGCTTTGATAGAACTGCTAGAGTCTGTTTCTTGAAAAGTTTTAGAACTGTAACTGAAGTCTTTTCCACTGTTTCTAATTCTCAGTTAACTGTCGGTGTACTTCCTGTAGACTGTTACAAGTATTTATAAGACAGAACAATAAGACCTTGCTTGCTTTCTGCTGCAGGATTTGTTGGCATAAAATTAAGATTAATACTTGGTAAATAAAAAAACTAACATGGAATACTTTGGGCAGGCATAGTCATACAATATTGATCGAAATTGAAAAGGATAAGTACTATACTAATAGATTAGATTGCAGACAATGTTATTTTGTATCCCAAATGAATGAAATTTGCGTTTGCTTTGATTTAGAGAGCTTACAAGGAATGCCAGAAAGTTATCCTGATGTCTTTAAAGGTCTCTGTATACTGGGCTCTATATTTCTAACAGGTTTTGTATATAATATAACTTACTGAAGTAGTCAGTTTGGAACTGTAGAGTTAGCTGGTTTTTGTATTATGGCTACAAGGACAATTGCTAGTTGTCCTGTTACAAAATGTGGATAGAGGTGGTGAATCAGAATAGAATTTATTCCTGCCTTATAAAGCTATAAAGATAGTAATACTGTACTCAAAGTCCAATAGTCAGCAGAGGTAGTTCTAGTGGTTGAGATATGAATGATCAAAGTTGACATAATTTTCATACTTTGATGTTTTTAATTTACAATGGAGAAAGTAAACTGTATGCTCATAGGAACTGAGTTCTGAAATCTGTCCAGTAGCACATTATTTTTAGTGCAATGATGCCTATGCTGTTTAGGAATGTTCAGGCTGATAACAATTACAATAAAACACTCTCTGTGACTACCTGTCAGTGGTTCAAGTTGTTGGGCAAAGACAGATACTAATCTCCAAGCGCTGTTTAAAAATTGATAATGAACTTGATTTGCATTGGGTGACACAAAAAAATACAAATAATTTTGTTTGGAGGGTTCTAGAACTAGACATTTTTCAGATTTCTTAATCAAATAACTCACTTGTTTTATTTTATTTGTATTACAAATTTAACCTTTGTAAGCTAGCTTTTCTAAATAAAGTGTTATTCTTATTTACCGTAAAAGAGTATTTAGATGCACTGAATGAGACAATGGAAAATGTAATACAAAGTCATAGAGGCAGACACAACTTTAGCGAAGTTGGGTCTTCAATCTGGTCTCCTACCTTCAATCCTATATCTCTGTATTATTTCAGCAAACAAATCTGACTAGTGCAATTAGTAGATGCCATCTGTTTTGGCATAATTTTTTTTTCTATTTTTAATATATAGTCCACCTTTTTTTAACGTCTTTTGCAGAGAATCTGTGAAGTTTGAACAAGCAGCCTTCCCAAGATGTACCGAATATCTCAACTGATGTCAACACCAGTAGCAAGTAAATGTAGGAGAACTGCTCTACGCAATTATCTTTTGAACGATTACACTCCTTTTAGCAATTTCCTTGCTTTGATTTTGCTGATACTCAGACCATTAACCATCTGTCAGTAGCTTGTGCTTCTTAAATGCCAGTGTTCACTTTGGCAATGATTTTGACTTCATTTCTTTCCTTGAGAGAAATGTGGTATTTTTCCTTCTAGTAGAAAAAAAAAAATCACCAGTTTTTTTTTAGATGCCTGTGCATAAATGTGAAAGGAGATTGTTTATCAGCTACTATTAAGATGCAAAACTGTTTGTCTATAAAAATGCTGAATGATTTTGATAGCTACTTGCAGAAAATAAGGGCGTTGTTAAAACGGTAGTGGTTTCAAGTTTCTTCCTTCCTCTTGTTATTTTCTCCCCAAACCCCACTTCAAACCCTCCCTCACATACCCACAATTTTCTCCTTACAAATCAACCAGCCCAATCTGAAAGTCTCAATTCTTTTCTTTGTCCTAGATATGCATTGTCAGTAATGGAATCAAGTTTCATGGGGCCTGTCTGTTGGCAATATTGTCACCATCACTGTACATTATAAAATTCTGCTTTAGGGTTTAGAATATTAATCAACTGAAACTTTCTCCAAGTGAAGTCTGTTGTCATGCCTTTGCTTAAACTGGAATGAATGAATAGATGCTTTTTTTTTCTGGTAAATAAAAACACTCAAAGGCTTCACACATTGGAAAACTATATATAAAACAAAACAAAGCTTTATTTCTCCCCCACTATGTCTTTGCTCCTTATTTGACAGTAGAAGTGTCCTTTTTTTTGAGTTGGAGTCTCACTCTGTTGCCCAGGCTGGAGTGCAGTGGCACACTCACTGCCACTGCAGCCTCAACTTGCTGGGCTCAGGTGATCTTTCCACCTCAGCCTTCCATGTAGCTGGAGCCACAGGCATGCACCACCATGCCCAGCTAATTTTTAAAAATTATTTGTTGTAGAGACATGGTCTCACCAAGTTGCCCAGGCTGGTCTTGAACCCCTGGACTCAGGCAATCCTCTCACCTCCACCTCCCAAATTTCTGGGATTATAGGCATGACCCACTGCACCCAGCTAGCAGTCTCTTAAAATGCACTAATGAGGGAGAATTCGGGACAATACTTGAATCCCTCAGATGACTGAGCAAGTTACAATAACCAAAACGTCAGGGAATTAATTTGGATTTTTCTCCAGCTTCATACAAGATGTTTTCTTTCTTTTTTCCATTAGCTCAGTTTGATACTAATGATTTATCCTTGCCTCATCCTGTACTAAGGAATTTCCATAGGAGTGTTATGTGCAGGCAAAGACAGAAGACAGAAGCCCCTAGATTATGTCTTGCTTCCCATAGAGCCCTGATGATAAGTTGTGCTGGACTTAATCACCAGAAGATTGTGTTGGTTGGAGTCTCTCTGCTGCAACTGGGACATCGGCTATTCTGATCTCCTCACATGCCTCCATTGCTTGCAATGACATGTGTTGGTCAGGTGTAATGCATGTCTACTTCACTCTGATATGTTTTTGCAGGTGCTTCCAGGTTGGAAAGAGAATATGCTGGAAAGTTGTCTCCCACATGCGTCTTCCCAAGGTATTTCATGGGACTTTTCTCAAAAAACAAATTATTTTTCTGTATATCTTATTTTGTTGTATTCCTGGCCTAAAAATTTTATTTTAGGTGTTGTCTAGTTTTGGTATGGTTCTATATTTGTAGGCCCGTGCTCATACTAAATGGAAACTTGCCTAATAAATTAATGAATTTGTTTTTTAGTGTGAGTGTGTGGGAGGGTGTGAAGTCTTTCTCCAGAGAGTGTCAAAACTATTGAATGCTGATGAGTGGTTGCTTTTTCTCAAATTGACGTTCTCTTAAATATGCTTTGCTATCTCATTTTACAAGAGCAGTAGGATTCTATACCTGACCAAATTTCATGTTCTACTAGAATATGTAGATTCTGCCATTTTGTTCAAGTTCTGCAACAAAGTTTCTTTTCTTTTTCCTCTGACTCTCTGTCTCTTATATCTTTTACTGACCTCAGTGGATGTTTCCCCTAGTGTTTTGTGAAATGTGCCTGTAGTATAAAGAGATCATGCACTGATTTTTAGGACCTGCTCCTTCTTGTATATAAAGTATAGGTCTTCTGGTTTTACCAAAGGAATCAGCTAAAGATAAACAAGCAGAGTAAAGGAAAATAATATGTTTTAGAGTTAGACCAACTAGCGTTCAGATCATAGCTCTGTCACTTGCTGGCTATGTAGAATATTCAGGTAATTCTCCCTTCTGCAACTGATTGTTTTCCCTCTGTACAATGAGGATAATAATGATACTTAGCTTTTAGAGAGAGGTGTGGAGTATAGATAAAGTGCAAAGTATGAGGGCAGGTCCATGGTAAGTGTTCAAAAAATTATATACATTTAAAATAGTATTTTATAGCCGGGCTTGGTGGCTCAGCCTGTAATCCCGCGCCTTTGGGAGGCTGAGGTGAGTGGATTGCCTGAGCCCGCGGGTTCGAGACTTGCCTGGGCGGGGAGACCTCATCTCTACAATAAATCAAAAAATCATCCGGGCGTGGTAGCACATGCCTGTAATTCCGGCTACTTGGAAGGCTGAGGCGGAAGGATCGCTGGAGCCCGTCAGGTCGAGGATGCGGTGGCCGGAAGCGGCCACTGCACTCCAGTCTGGGCAACAGAGTGATACTCCAACTTAAAAATAATAATAATAATAAATAAATAAATACATAAAATTAAATAAAATTAAATAAGTTAAAATAAAATAGTATTTATTACTAACTTGAGTACATATATTTATTGCATACAGGCTTTTAATTCTAAAATATCATTCATTAGATCATGAGGGAGATGTATAGAAGGACAGGTGACATTTTGCAGTTTATCAATATGTAAGTAATTGTCTAAGCATTTTTTTAAAGATCCATGTGGTATTTGTCCCTCCACCAACCAGTCTTTGTGCGATCCTAGGAGGCATGGGCTCTAGGCTCTTCGAAGGCCTGGTTAGTAGGCTCACAAGATCAGAAAAGACTTTGTCTTTGGGCAGTTGATGAAGTTGCTGGGCTTTGCTGTGGGACCAGACTTTTGAAATCAACTGGAAACAACTTACTAAAAATAGCCAGCTAGTAGGTTTATTATAGCGGAATGAAGCCGGAGTAAAGATCTCGAGATGATTTTGGTATCCACTCTAAATATTTGATACTGTTGGGAAGAATTCCCTTTTTACTATAATCCGGGTGTTGGAAGAGTGTCTTCAATTTGCTTACAATCAGGAGAGAAGAGATCAAGTTAGAGACATTAAAAAGGAAAGATGCCAGGGAGTTAGGGTGGCTGCAGTTTATAATTGTTGAAGGTTGAAACCTCAGAAACAGGAGTGCAGTTAAAAAAACAGGTCCAGATCTCTGTAACCTTCCAAGTGTCCAGCATGATATTGTTGCCTTATCAATCCTTTTGTTTTTTTTAAATTAGGGTCTTACTCTGTTGCCCAGGCTGAAGTGCAGTGTCATGCTCACACTCACCACAGCTTCAAACCCCTAGGTTCAAGTGATCTTCCTGCCTTAGCCTCCCAAGTAGCTGGGACTATAGGCATGTGCCACCACCCCCGGCTAATTTTTGTTGTTGTTGTTAGAAACAAGGTTGCACTAGGTTGACTTGACGAGGCTGGTGTTGAACTCCTGGGCTCAAGTAATCCTCCTGCCTTAGCCTCCCAAAGTGCTGGGATAACAGGCCTGAGTCACCGTGCCCACCTATTAATTTTTGAAGAGGCAAAATTATGTAGAAGAAAAAGCATTAGCATAGGAGACAAAGGCTCTAGAAGCTTGCCTTGCCTCTCCAACCTGAACTTACCCTACTATCTATTTTATCATCTATTAACAGGGATAACAATAACTAACATACACTAATAAGGTGGGTCAGTCCATGTCTGGAAATAGTCTCTTCTGGTGTTTCCCCAAGTCTTAGATCTCTACCTGGGCTAAATATTTTCATCAGTGATTTGGATTAAGGACATATAGATTCTAGTGAGAGCATTTTTGAAAGACATCATGTAAAGATATAAAAAGTGTTGTATAATATAGTCAGAATCCAGCAAAATCTTTAAAGCACAAGACAAGGAGCTCATTCAAACACTGTGTAGTAGCTATCAGGGTTTGCTTATAACACTTCGGTTATGGGTACATAGGCATTAATAATGTTCCATAAAATTATGACAATTAATATTTAGAGCTAATCTATCAGGTTGATTTTAGATAATCCTTATTGTAAATATTCCCATTTGTAAGAAACTGAGTCTTGGAGAGAATAAAAAATTGGTAAGATGTAGAAACATATTTGAAACCCAGTGTATAAACCTGGCTCTATCTAGTTGTATTTCTGAATGCCAAAGGTTTGGTCTAGGTTCTGTTGCCCACTGCACAGAAAACCCACCACTGAGACAATGAGTATTGTCAGGGAAGAAATCTTCATTACTTTATGGGTGATGTTAACTGGAAAAAAATGAAGCCAAACCTCAGATCCATTCCTCACCTCCTTCCCCGACTAAAGTTAAGGGTTTGTATAGCCAGAGAGGAGGGGTTGGCTGACAGGCAGGAGGTGGTCCAATGAGAGAGTCTAGCATCCCATGTAAGCACATGTGGGAAACCAGGAATGGGGAAGGACAAGGAAGAGTAAGCCGTCCAACAGGTAGCAGGTACATTTCATTGCACAAAGGTAAGTCTCTTGAGCTTTAGCTCCATAGGCATCTGACTTGTTAGAAAACTGGGCCAGTTGCAGTGCAAACTATTTTATATTGACTTTCTAATAGAAAATTGGTCCAAAAGTCCAGGAGAGAGAAGATATACCAACTATATGAGGAAGATGACTAGAAATTGACTATTGATTCCAGAATATGGCAATATTTGGATGATTAGGAGAAAAACAAAAAGAAAGGAATCAAACTAATGTGATTTAAGTTTCATCACTAAAGACATGGATTCTATAATAAGGGAGGTGATAGGCCCATTCTCCTCTGGTTTAGAAATGCCTAAGGACTGGTTTCTTTCAGAGAAGACCTGAAAACTTTCTTCAAATAACTGAATTGCTCTCAGATGAAAGATGGAAGGGACCATAAGAAAAAGAAAGAAGAGAAGGGAGGAAGTGAATGTTTATTAAGCATATACTATGTGCTAAACACATTATATTCATTTTCTTATTTGATAATCAAGACAACTCCTTAGGAAATAGACTTTTAAAATTTTTTTTATTTTAAAGATGTGGGGTACAATTCAGGTTAGGTATACAAATGTTCATTATGCAGGTACCCTTGTTGATGAGATGTACCCCACCCTCCCCTGGCAGTTTCCCTCAACTGCCAATGCCTTTCTTATAGTATTATGATAATTGTTCAGGGTTCACTTATGAGTGAGAACATATGGTACTCTCTTCTTTTTTTCTGTGATAGATCACTGAGTCTGATTGACTCCCAATCCATCCAAGTTGCTACAAAGTTCATATGTTTGTCTTTCTTTATGACTGCATAATATTACACTGTGTAGATGTACCACATTTTTTTTATCCAGTCCAGTTTTGATGGGCAGCATGGTTGGTTCCATGTTTTTGCTACTGTGAGTAGAACTGCAACAAACATGCGTGTGCAGGTATCTTTATGGTAGAATGACTTGAGTTCTTCTGGGTATATTCTCAAAAGGGGGGCAGACTTTTTTTTTTAAACTCATTTTACAGATAAGGAAACAGTCTGAGAAGGTAAGAATCTAGGTTAAGTTTACTCACCTAATCAATGACAGGATTGGTATTATGGGTTTAAGGTAGATAGACTAAATTCCACACCTTTTCCACTAATCACAGGTCACATTTGTGAAGGGTGAGGTGGGTTCATAAGTGTGGAGTCCTTATCACTGACAGTGGACAAACAGAGGTGGGACAATGTTTATCAGAAATACAACAGACAGGACAAGCAGACTTTGATGGGACTGGAGACATGACCACTAAAATTCCTTCTGATTCTTAGAATCTGTGATTCCCTAGAAGCGCATCATCCCAATTTATGAAATGTTATGAAATAAATGTGTGTAGGAGTTCTTTGAAAAATCAGTGTAAAGAACACGTGAGAGTTATGATAGTATCAGTGATATAAATTTTTTTTTTTGAGTTTGAGTCTCACTCTGTGGCCCACTGAAGTGCAGTGGCACGCTTACGGCCACTGCAGCCTCGATCTGCTGGGCTTAGGCAAACCTTCTGCCTTAGTCTTTCAAGTAGCTAGAACTACAGGCACACGTTACCCTGCCCAGCTTATTTTCTGATTTATTGTAGAGATGAGTTCTCACCAAGTTACCTGGGCTAGTCTTGAACCTGCGGGCTCAGGCCATCCATTTGCCTCAGCCTCCCAAAGTGCTGGGATTACAGGCTGAGCCACCAAGCCCAACCAGTGATATAAATTGTTTTCATTTTGTTTTGTTTTGTTTTGTTTTTTGTTGTTGTTTTTTTTTTTTTAGTTGGAGTCTCACTCTGTCACCCAGACTGGAGTGCAGTGGCCGCTCCTGGCCACCACAGCCTCGACCTGCTGGGCTCCGGCGATCCTTCCGCCTCAGCTTTCCAAGTAGCCAGAATTACAGGCATGCGCTACCACGCCTGGATGATTTTTTGATTTATTGTAGAGATGAGGTCTCGCTGCCCAGGCGGGTCTCGAACCCGCAGGCTCAGGCAATCCACTCACTCAGCCTCCCAAAGGCGCGGGATTACAGGCTGAGCGACCCAGCCCGGCAGTGAGATAAATTGTATTTGCATATCCTGTTACATGACTTCATGCAGCAAACATTATTGAGTTTATTTATATACTGAACCTTTATTAGGCACACAGACCTTGCCCTCTAAAAAGCCTATACAATAATTATTGAGGCAAACGTAAAGACAAATTACAGTGAAATTAGTTAGAATTTAGGACCAATAAAAAGAATAATTTTTATGGGTGAGGGAAAAACAAGTAGTTTTACCCGAGGAAATGACACGTTGTTTTCTCCAATATGACGCTATTACCGTTGTCATCAGGCTTCTACAAAACCTCACCTCAAGAAATTTGAAATTTCTGGAATAACTTTATAAAAATGTTGGTTTTCTTTCAATGATAGAGTCATGCATTAAAAGAGAGAGAGAGAGAAGATAGCAATGTTACCCAGGCTGAAATGCAATGACTATTGATAGGTACAATCATAGCTCACTGCAGCCTCGAAATTCTGGGTTCAAGCAATTCTCCTATCTCAGCCTCCCAAGAAGCTGGGTCTTCCAGTCATGTGCCATCATGCCCAACTCAATGTGATTGTTTTTTAAACCTAAGACACATACAAATTTTCTCAAGGAATTGTGAGAGCTCCTTGGATACCAAATTAGAGAAGGTAACTGTGCATCCATATGTGCAGCCAAACTAGAGGGAAATTTGCGGAGGCCAAAAAGATCTCTTTGACTTTATGTTCATTCTATACCTTATATGTTTCTGGTGGCTGCATATTTATAGTTTTTCTATTACAATGACAAGAATAAAGATATGGCCATTGGAGGGCTATTCAAAGTAAAGGGTTGGAAGGGATTATGAGCTTCCAACATCTCTGAAAGAAAAAAATCTCAATGTTTTCATCCAAGAAAATAGACCAAGGGAAGAGGAGGCACACCTCGTCCACAAGGGTACCTGCATAAAGAACATTTGTATATCTAACCCTGAACTGTACATCACATATTTAAAATAAAAAAAAATTAAAAGTTAAAAAAAGAAAAGAAAATAGACTAATGTCAAGAGCGTAGGTTCATCATATGGTGATGGTGAAGAAACTGACTAGCCACAGTGTTTTCACCAAGTTTTGTTTTTGTTTTTGTTTTTGTTTGAGTTGGAGTCTCACTCCGTTGCCCAGAATGGAGTGCAGTGGCCACTCCCGGCCACTGCAGCCTTGACCTGCTGGGCTCCGGCGATGCTTCCGCCTCAGCCTTCCAAATAGCCGGAATTACAGGCGCACGCTACCTCACCCGGCTTATTTTTTGATTTATTGTAGAGATGAGGTCTCACCAAGTTGCCCAGGTGGGTCTCGAACCCATGGGCCCAGGCAATCCACTCACCTCAGCCTCCCAAGGCGCGGGATTACAGGCTGAGCCACCGAGCCTGGCTTCACCAAGTTTTAAAACAGAAATAAGCACTCCATGTCCTGTAGTTTGATGTCATCAAAGGTGAGGAGGTGCAGCCCAGAAGGTTAGGAGTGACATTTTTAATGGCAGAAGAAGTAACCAATAGCCATAAGTGCACAAGACGTGGTTTTTGTGGGACTGGATATAGACAGAGATCTTAATAACCTTCCTTTTCTCTTCTTTAGTTTTGCCTGTGATTTCCTGGAAAGTGACAGTTCATTTGAATGCTGCTCCATAGATCCCTTGACAGGCTCCCACCATACTTGTCGCCGAAGTCCCAGACTCCTCACCAATGGCTACTACATTTGGACAGAAGACAGTTTCCTCTGTGACCAAGATGGCAACATCACTCTGAATCCATCCCAGACCAGTGTTATATACAAGGAGAACTTAGTTAGGTAAGTAGAGGATATTACATAAAGCAATCTCAAGCCCACTTGATAATGTATTCATTCACTCATTCATTTACTCATTTATTCATTCAATTTATATTCATTCATTTATAAGGAGCCCATTATCGTTACAGACTGTGGAAATTCAAAGGGCAATAAAGATGAAGGATAGCCAGTATGAAAACAAACAAAAATAATGCAGTGATACAGGTGCAGTGGAGGAAAGGGAGGCCTGTTTTACTTGGGGAATAGGTGTAAACAAACTTTCTAGAGGTGGTAATGACTGATTTGAATCCTGAAAAATGTAGGATGTTGGTTAAAAGTAGGAAAGAAGACTTTTGGAGAGGGCACAGGCATGGGGCTCTTAGAGACCCAGATGCAATTTGGGATATGGCAAATAATTTAGTAAGAATATAACTTAGGGTGGGAAAGGGTGCTCTGTAAGAAAGAAGACTGAGCACAGAGGCAGAGGTTGGGTGGAGGGAGTTACATTTCAGGCTAAGGAGTTTGAGCATTCTTCTATAGATAGAGAGGAGTCAGTGACAAATTATCAGATTTATTCTTAGAAAAATAACAGTGATGGCAAAGTAGAGGATGGATTGTTGGGAGTGTGGAGTGTGTGAGCAGAGAGTAGGTAGAATGAGAAAACTGAAGGCTGGATACTCATGAATTGAAAGAAAGTCATAATAGCAAGGACAAAAGAGTAGGGGTGGAGAAATCGATAAAGGGACCTGTAAAGAGTAGGACTTGGCCACTGTTTGGATGGAGGAGGGACAACAAAAGAAGGACACTTGCATGAAACTTAGGACTCTGGCTTTAACTGGATGTAGCGTTGGGCCAGTTATCAAGGTCAGAAGCAAAGGAGTGGCATGTTTGCAGGAAAGAAGATGAATGAGTTCACTTTGTATCCATGAATTTGGGCAATCACATCCATGTTTTTGTGTGCTTCAAAACCACCCACGTGCTGACTGTATCAACTATTGACACAATGTTGCCAAGTAACAAATAACTACAAAATCTTTGTGACATACAAATATTTGGAAGTCATTTGGGCCAGGTTGATGTAGTCTGGTTTCAGGTGGGAATCAAGTCCGTTTCACAGAGATCATTCTCTTGGGACTAGTGGACCACATGAAGAATGTGCTTCCGATGGTAATGACATGAAAGCAAGAAGACATGCCCCAACAGCAAGTACATTTCAAGCCCCTGGGTGCCTCAATCTGACAACATTCCATTGGTCAATTCGAATTATACAGGCTAGCTGGAATAGGGGTCAGGAAAACACATTCTTCTTCTGTTCATGGGGGAGGGAGGGATTTCCTAGAGGCATCTCAAACCTAGTATGTCCAAAATAGAATAGGTCTTTCTTCCAAAATGTTTCTCATGTGAGTTTTATCTCACTGAAAAGAAACACCATTCACCCTCTCTTATGGGTCACTCCAGACTTGACCTTTTTTTTTTTTTTAATATATCCCTTTTATTCAGTTGGTCTTTGCATTAGTCAGAATAAGATGAGAGAGATGGTAACCTATAAATCTAAACATATAATGGTTCAAACAAAACCAAATTTTATTTTTTGCTCATGTAATCGTCCAGCGTGAGTGTTCCAGGTTGACTGGTGATCTGCCGCCAAGCAGGGAGACCCAGACTTCTCTTGTCTTGTTCTTCTGCCGACCATTGGAGCCCTTGGAGAGGGCTACTCTGGCATGGTAGCGTTCTGGAACCAACTGGTGAAAGTAGAAATAAAGTGAGCTAGAGGAACAACTGCTCCATCCCAGAAATGGCACACATCATTTCTGCTCACATTCCACTGGGGAGACCTTAGATCATGACCACATCTAATGGCAAGGGAGCAGGAAAATGTAGCCAATTGTATGTCCAAGTAGAATGGATAGAATGGATTTGGTAGAAAGTTCACTATTTCTGCCACAGTTGCTAAGACCAAATGAGTTAACACCCTGAAATTATTTGGAGTTGTTCTCATCCTCTTTATATGGTGATACCCTCCATTTGTACCATCACCACCACCTCTTGTTTAGGTTTCTGCAATGGCTGCCTTAGAATTTGATGTGCTTCCTGGAACATTCTAGTACATACTCCAGGTGACTGCAAGGTAGTTTTGGTACTTTGCTTAGGCACCCTCCTTCAGAAAAGTCTTGATCCATTTTCTCCCTCCCCCCCTTTTTACCTTGAACATAACTATTAATGTGTGTTAAACCCACAAAATCAATATCTCAACTGTTTTACTGATAGACACTCATTTGGTTTCCCAATTCTTTCTTTGAAACCTTATGGCATAGGTTTTATTACCACCATTTTCATTTCACAAAGGCAAAACTTAAGTCTAGAGAGGTTAAGTGACTTTCCCAAGCTCACAGAGCTATTAGCTGAAACCAGAATTCCCTCAGACTGTCTGATTTTAGAGAACAAGTTTCTAACCCCACTTTTTAACTTTATCCCACCTGCATAGATATTCTTAGTGTTAGAGTTAATGTTTTTTCCATACAGTTTTTCCCCATATTTGATCAGTGCCCATCCCATAATATGTGCTTAATAAAGATTTGTTGAGTAAATTAACTCAGAATTTTTAAAAATCAAAAATTTTCTAATTCCTGATTATTCAACTTAAAATGACCTCATCTTAGAACCCACAAAAATGTTAACAGTTAGTTTTTGTTTTTTAAAAATGTTCCATCGTCATGAACACTATCATTTTCCTCAACCTGCTGTTACCTAAAATTGACAACAGAGAGAATTAAAATAAAGCAAGGTTTCTCAATCACAGCCCTATTCATATTTTGTATCAGATAATTTTCTGTTATGGGGAACCGTCCTATGCATTGTGACTATTTAACATCTCTGGCCTCTACCTGCTACATGCCAGGAGCACCCCTCCCTTGGTGTGATGGTAACAAAATGTCTCCGAATCTGCTAAGTGTTCCCTGGGACCAAAATCACCCTGGCTGAGAGCCATCCGGATCAAGAGTGCACGTGGCTTGCTCTAACCCACCCTAAACACTGAAGGAATGCACATTCGTAATGCAACGCCTGATGGCAGCTGTAGAATCCCCCAGAGAAGAGTAGAAGCGTGTGATGGGAAAATTGTCCCATTCACTTCCTGTATGTGACAGGAAAATGGTCCCATTCCCCCTCGTATTACCCGGCTGCAGCTCAGACCCTCAGCCCTTCTTACCAGTATAGTGTGTCCAGCCCAACCGGGGCTTGGCACCTGACTCACAGGCAGACACACAGTAAAAGTTACTCCCCAGTGCACTTTGAACAGCCTCTCTGCTCTCAGTCTTGGGCCTCCAAGTCACCCTCTGTGGCCAACCATCTCTTGGAAATGCAAACCCTCATCAGAACCACTCCTCGTCCTCACCATGCTTCAGTGGAGTCCCTTGTTCCTACATTAAATTCCAAATTCCAGCTCCCTAGCACCATATATGAGATTCTTCATTATCAGGCCTCGTCTTAACTTTTTCAGCCTTATTTCTGACCATGACCCAATCTGAGACCTACTTGTTTTTCAATACACAGGTCTGATCATCTCACGCAACTTAGAACATGCTTTTCCCAGAAAGGCTGCCTTGATTTTCAATTAGCAATGCTGCTCCTAGTGTCCTCTGAGTAATCCCTAGGTCACTCTTCCAGAGCATATAACCCCCGCATAGCAAAGCTGTCAAGAACAGAGACCGTAAAGTCAGATTCTGGGTTTGCATCCCAACTATGTCACTTACTAGCTGCATGACCTCAGCCAAGTAATTTACCTTGTCTATGCCTCAGTTTCCTGATCTGGAAAATGGTATCATAATAGAACCTACCTTAGTGCTGGGAATATCATGTGTTAATCTATGTAAAGTACTGAGAAAGATGTCTGGCATAGAATAAGCCCTGTGAAAGTATTCACAATACCTTGTCTTTTTCCCATAGAAGATTGTGAACTTTTGCATGCAATGCTTTGTCTTTCAACTCAGTGTTCTTGACATTAATTCAAGGACCTGGCACACAGTAGAGTTTTGAGAAACTTCTGTGGGTTAATGGAGTGAAGGGACTTGGGTCGTAGAGTTGAACTCTGTGCACCAAATCACTTTTGCTAAATTCTGTTTTGAGCCTGAAGTGACTATTTTCGTTTGTCTCTAGGATATTTAGAAAGAAAAAGAGAATCCATCATTCTGTTTCTTCTCGCTTCAATCTCGGTACCTCTAAATCCTGGCTGCATGAAAGTATCTTTGGTGATGTTGACTCTCCCCCAAGTCAGGACATCTGGTTGGAGGATGTCAGAAGGCTGGATACAGACCATTACAACAAAAATGGTGAGTTTGAATCTTTCCTTCCATCATGAGATGTCATTTCCAGAATAGATAGTGGTAGACATGTGATCCTGGACCAATGTCAAATCCAGATATGACAGTCACTTTGATAGTGAGATGGGCCACATGTTAAAAATTCACCTAAAGTTCTCTTCACACTACGTGTGTGATTGAAATGCATATGTGTCTATGCTCTTCAAAATAGCCTAATTTAAATGAGTGAATTACTAAGTTTATAACACCAGGAAACTACTATACATCTCCAATGTATCTTTCTGTATGAGATATGAATGGAGAAAGAATATTGAAGTCAGGTTTAGAAGACTTGTATTGGAAAAAGTATACTTAGGTCAAGTTTCAAGTCTCAGTTTGGTATGCTTGATAGTATTTTACTTTGCTAAGTTTCAATTTTTTTATTTCAAAAATATAAAACTGTTGAAAAATATGACATTTTTATATATTAGATAAGTTATATATTATGTAATGACATTAATATTAATATATGTAAATATGCATATATGTATATAAACACACGGATGGAATTGTAAAGCATATTTTAATTTTTCTTTTAAAAATTTTCATAGCTTTAGGGGGTACAAATGGTTTTTATTTACCTGGATGTATTGTGTGGTGGTGAAGAAGTCTAGACTTTAAGCCTCCCAAGTAGCTTGGACTACAGGAACAAGCCACCATGCCTGGCTAATTTTGTTATTTTTTTGTAGAGACAAAGTCTTGCTGTGTTGTCCAGGCCAGTCTCAAACTCCTGGCCTTCTGCCTTGGCCTCCCTAAGTGCTGGAATCACAGCTGTGAGCCACCACACCTGGCCTCATTCTCTCATGTATTCATTCACTCCTCTGAGTACGTGAGTCCTAAGTATTGAGCACACATTCTTCAAGGTTCACTAAGACATGACTCTAACCTTGGGAAATCCTGGTTTAAAACAGATAGATAAGCGTGTCTGCAGATAATTAACATGTAACACCTGAAGCACTTTAAGATATTGGTGAGGAATAAATGGAGAGAACAGCAGAGGGTTAGGCAGAGGAGGATGAGAAGGTTCAGGGGGAAGTAACATCTGAGTGAGTCTTAAAGGATGAGCAGGATTTCTAGGCAGAGATGAGCTGGAGTGATATTCCCAGCGTCCCCATTCCATCTTCCAAACTGCTGGCTTTCTATTTGTGGCCATGTCACTCCTCAACACAGCAGACAAGTTCCTTTGACTATTTCTGCTTCTCCAACCAGAACCAGCTGCAACATTTTAGACCCAGTGCAAAATAAAATACAGGGTCCGTTATTAAAAAAAAAGATGTTTAAGAATGTCAGGTGTTGGCTGGGCTCGGTGGCTCAGCCTATCATCCCAATACTTTGGGAGGCCAGGAGAGTGGCTTGCCTGAGCCTGTGGGTTTGAGACCAGCCCGGGTACCTTGGCGAGACTGTGTCTCTACAATACATCAAAAATTAGTCAGGTGTGGTAGCGCGTGCCTGGAGTTCCGACTACTTGGAAGGCTGAGGTGGAGGGATCTACGAAGCCCAGTGGGTTAGTGCTAGAGTGGCCGTGAGTGTGCCACAGCACTCCAGCCTGGGTGACAGAGTGAGACTCCAACTCAAAAAAAAAAAAAAAAAGAATGTCAGGTGTTGACTGCAGAGCATTAAACCAAGCATGGGACCCTCCTGAATATGGGCCCTGAGCATGGCATGTATTAAATGCCCACATTACTGGTCTTGTCTTTAACTTTTTCTTTTTCCTTTCTCTTTCCTGCATTTGACTTGGATCACACTGATCTGCTTTCAGTTTCCATAATGGACCATGCTCTTCCACACATCTGTGGCTTTGCCATGTTGCTCACTCTACGAGAGTACATTCATTCATTCATTTGGGAGATTCTATTGAGGGTGGGCCGACCACGTGCTAGGAACTATTTTACACTGTGGATACAGTGTTGATTTTATAACAGACAAGATGACCTGTTTCCGTGGAATGTTCATTTTTGTTGGGGGAGATAGACAAGAAATACGTTATATGGCATGTTAACAAATGGTGAGTCGTATGCAGAAGAACAAAGGAGGATGTGATGATGACCACAAGCTAAGATAAGGTGGTGAGGGAAGGCCTCGTTGAGGACTTTGGAGCATTTACTTAAAAGCAGGAGCAAACAGCTGTGCGGATATCTGGGCAAGGAACAATCCAGGTCAAGGAAAGGCTGATGCAAAGAGTCGGGACTAGGTGCCTGCATGAGGCTGAGTGAGAGAGGGGCCATGAGGGAAGGAGCCCAGAGGTGTGAGTATTGGGGCTGGGTGGGGAACAATGTGCTGAGCTCTGAGGCCACTCCAAAGGCTTTGGCTCCACTCCCAGCAAGAAGAGAAACCGCCAGAGGATTCTGAGCCGAGGAATAACATGATTCAATTTATATTTTGACAGGATGGCTCTGGATGCTGGGTTCAGATTAGATGTCGGGTATTAGAAACAGAAGCAAGAAACCAGTTAAGAGGCTGATGAGGTGATTCAGATGGGAAAGAATAGTAGCTTGGGTTAAGATGATGGCGGGATGGTGGTGAGAAGGGGTAGGATTCTGGTTTCATCTCAAAGATAGAGCTCCAGGATCTGCCCATGTGGGCTGTGAAAGAGAGAAGTTGAGGGTGTTTGTTACATGCTGAGCACTTAACACTCTGTCTTTTTAAAATACATGACCTTGTTTACATACATTGTCTTGTTTAACTATCCCAGAAACTCCTCAGAAGGAGGTCACATGATCATATTCATGATCGTTGTGATAAAGCTGACTTTCAGCGTCAAGGAGCTTGCCCAAATTCATGTAGTTTATAAACAGCAGTGTTGGAATTCAACCTACTGGAATTTGAAAATCCAGACTTCGCTCTACTGCCAAGAAGGGTTTTGTTCTTTTTTCCAAGGAGGAATCCAGCATTTCCTTCATAGCCTGAACCCAAAGAGAAGCTAGAGGAATCTTACAGTGCAATAATATGATAAGTTAAGTGTGTAGTAAATATATGGCTATTACATTTCTCATCCTGCTTCCTGGGTGTAAAACACAAATACTACATTCCTTTTTAATTTTTACTTTTTCCATAATTATAGATTCACAAGATGTTGCAAAAAAACTGTACAGGGAGGGCCAGCATACTCTTTGTTCAGCTTCATTCACTGATAACAACTTACACAACTATAGTAAGTTACCAAAACCAGGAAAGTGATATTGGACAGCACCGTGAAGTTCTCCCTAGTTTTTACATGTATTCATTTGTGCGTGTGTGCCCATGTGTGTGATACTATATTTACAATATTAGCTTGTTTAAATATCCCCAAAACCCCTTGGAAGTAGGTCCTATTTTCTTATGTCTGATAGTTGTGAGAATATAGTACATACTTGTTAAGTGAAGGAACAATTTCTTATATGAACAAATGATTCGTTAAATTGAATGATTCCAGTTTTCTGCAATAACAAGAATGTACAAGAAGAAAGAGGAGAAAAAGACAGGAACATGGGGGTGAGGCTGGAAACAGACTGTAACATGTTGAGGAGTTTGGATTTTATATAATTGTATATAATTTGGATTTTATATAATTTTGTATCATTTGGATTTCGTATAATCCATAAAGTATAGTTTTGAAGGATCTTGAGCAGGGTCATGAGGCAGTCAGACATGGATTTTCCAAGTCACCTTTACAGAAACATGAAGTAAGGATTGGATGGAGAGCGGTTGGTGAGATCTTGGAAGCCATGAAAACCAACAAGCATCCTGAGGGAATGGCTGTGAAGACAGAGGGAAGGAAGACATTTAAGGAATATTTTCAAGGTAGAATTGACAGATTGGTGACAGATTAAATGCAGATGTGAGAAGGTGGGGGGAATGAAAGAAATAAAGAAAATGGATGTGTTTAGTTCAGGGGACTTCATGGAAAATCCTGCCAGTCACCAAGGGCAGGAAGATAGTATGCAGAGTGATGAAGAGAATGAACTTTCCACCTGAATTCAAGTCCTGGAACCGTCTTTTCCCACCTGAGTATTCTGGGGCAAGTTCATTAACCTCTCTGATGCTCTGGGTTTGTTTTTTTTTTCATATATGAAAGAAGAAAAATTGTAGCAGACAGGATTGTTATGAGGATGAAATGCAGTAGTTCATGAAATATATCAGCAGAAGGGCTGGAATTCTGCTTCATACATATTAGCTCTAAAAAGGTCCAAATCCCAAAAAGAACAGAATGGAAATCATTGAAAGAGACAAAGAATTCTATTTTGTATGGGCTAAATTTGAGGTGCCTATGGGGAATACATAACCAGCAGGGGTTCAGAAACATGAGAAAGGCGTTCAGGAGTAAAGAAGCACCTAGAGATGTTGATTTGGAAGCCTATTTGAGAAACCGTGTAGGTCTTTGAAATAAAGGAAACTATTTATGGAAAACAAGTGAATGAATAAAAAGGAGAGTTAAGAAAGGAATTGAGGAGTTTGAGCAAAGTCCCAGGATTAAGAATACCTGATAGTAATGGGTGCTAGGAGCCAGCACAACCCAATAAACCCCCATGTTAACTTATCACTTCTCTCCAAAGCCTGGGAGGGAACCATGGTTCTTATTCTCATTTTTCAAATGGGAGGCTAATGCAGATTAGATACTTTTCTCAAGGGCACACAACTAGTAAGTAGCATAGCCGGGATTTGAAGCGAAGAGTCTTAGCGTGTGTGCTCATCAGTGGGGGAAAAAGCTCTTTGAGAACGGTTTCTCAGGCAAGGAACCAGAAAAGTGTGGTGTTACGAGAGAAAAGAATATAAAGAAATGGCTAAGGGTGTACAGCTCGATAAAGAGGCCAATCCAAGTATTCTGTCACCTTAAAGAAATCTCTGACGAATACATTATGCATGGAACCTCCACTCAGAAGGCGAAGGAGAGGTCATCTTTCTGACTCTCCCCAACACACTGGCACAAATGCTTGCAGTAATAAGGAGTTCTCACTGCTTTTAAACTGAGATATAATTCACATTCCATAAAA